TAAAAACCATTAAGTAAACTAAAAGAATTGCAGATATTTATAACACACATAGTTGACAAAGGACTTATATGTAGAAAATATTTAAAAACTCCAAAAACTTAAGAATATAATCCAACAACCAAAAAAAATGGGCAAAGATTTTAGACAGATACTTCACAAAAGAAGAGATACACATGTTCAAGAAGCACATGAGATGTTCAACATTATTACCCACCAGAGAAATGCAAGTCAAAACACCACAATGAGGTACCTCTTCACACTCACTATGATGGCTACAATCAAAAAGACAGATAATAGCAAGTGTTAACAAAGATGTGATGAAATTGGAAAACAGTTCAGCAGTGTCTTAAAATGTTAAAAATAGATTTGCTACATGATCAGCATTTCATTCCTCAAGAGGAATGAAAACATACCTCCATACAAAAACTAGAATGTAAGTGTTCACAATAACCAAAAAGTGGAAACTCAAGTATCCATCAATCGGTAAACAGATAAAATGTGGTATCTCCAAACACTGTAATACTACCCACTACATAATTAAAAAGGAACAAAGTATTGATATATGCTGCAATGTGGATGAGCCTCAAAAACAGTGGAACAAAGTATTGATATATGCTGTGTGAAAGAAGCCAAAAACAAAAGACCACATAGTGTATGAAGTCATTTAAATGAAAATGTCCAGAAAAGACAAATTTGGAAAACAAACAGTAGCATCGTGGTCACCTAGGGATGGGGGTAGAATTGAGAAATAATGCAAACGATCGCAAGGTTTCTTTTGGAGATGATGGAAATTTTCTAAAATAATATTGTGGTGATGATTGCACAACTCTATAAATATATTACTACCCACCATTGAGTTGTACACTTAAAACAGGTGAATTTTATAGTATGTAAATTACCCCTCAATAAAGTTATACAAAAAAGAGAGATGCAACCTCATTAGTCATCACTGAAACGCAAATTAAAATCACAATGCTATACCACTACACACCCACTAGAATGGTTAAAATTTAAAAGACTGATAGTCCAAGTATTGATGAAGATATGAAGCAGCTGGTGGGAATGTAAATGGTGCAGTGAATGCCGGGCTTGGTGGCTCAGCCTGAAATCCCATGCTTTGGGAGGCCAAGGTGAGTGAATTGCCTGGGCCTGCAGTTTGAGACCTGCCTGGGCAACTTGGCAAGACCTCATCTCTACAATAAATCAAAAATTAGCTGGACGTGGTAGTGAGCGCCTGTAGTTCCAGCTACTTGGAAGGCTGAGGTGGAAGGATCACCAGAGCCCAGCAGGTCAAGGCTGCAGTGGCCGGGAGCAGCCACTGCACTCCAGTCTGAATGACAGTGTGAGACTCCAACTCAAAAAAAAATGGTGCAGTGAGTTTGAATATTGTTCCCCAGAAAGATATGTCCAAGTCCCAAACCCTGGTACCTGTGAATGTGACTTTATTTGGAAAAAGGGTTCTGGCAGCTATAATTAAATTGAGGATCCTGAGGAGCTCAAAATAAGAGCACCCTGGATTTAGGGTGGGCCCTAATCCAATGACAGGCATCCTTTTAAGAGAAAGTGAGAGAGATTTAAGAAATAGAGAAGAACAGCCAGGCTCAGTGGCTCAGCCTATAATCCTGTGCCTTTGGGAGGCTGAAGTGAGTGGATTGCCTGAGCCTGGGGGTTCGAGGCCCGCCTGGGCAGTGAGACCTCATCTCTACAATAAATCAAAAAATCAGCCGGGCATGGTAGCGCATGCCTGTAATTCCGGCTACTTGGAAGGCTGAGGCGGAAGGATCGCCGGAGCCCAGCAGGTCGAGGCTGCGGTCCGGGAGCGGCCACTGCCCTCCAGCCTGGGTGACAGAGTGAGACTACAACTCAAAAAAAAAAAGAAATAGAGAAGAACAACATGGAAAGATAGAAGCAAAGACTGAAATTATGCTGTCACAAGTCAAGGAACACCAGGAGCCTGCATACTCTGGAAAAGGCAAGAAAGGTTTCTCCCCTAGAGCTTCTAGAAGGAGTGTGGCCCTGTAGACATCTTGACTTCAGAGGTCAAGTCTCCAGAACTGCAAGACAATACATTTCTGTTGTTTTAAGCCACCAGGTTTGTGGTAACTTGTTGCAGCAACCCTAGAACTCAAACAAATGATAAAATCACTCTGGAGAACTGTTTGGCAGTTACTTGTAAGGTTAAACAAAGAACTCCCATATAAACTCAGCAATTCACTTCTGGGCATTACCCAATAGAAATGAAAACAGAAAGACAGTAATAATAGACAGAAACCAGAAACTTTACTAATGTCCAGCAACAGGTGAATGAATAGACAATATGTAGTATTTCTATATCTTGGATTATTACTCAGCAATAAAAAGAAACAAATTATTGCTACATGTAACAACATGGATAAACCTAAAAAAGCATGCTGAATGAAAAAAAGACCCAAGAGTACATACTGCAAGCTTCCATTTATATAAAATCTAGAAAATATAGAGGCAGAAAACATATCAGTGATTGCTTGGGAACCAAGATGGAAGGAGGGACTGACTGCCAATTAACAAGAGAGGCAACTTTTAGAAGGGATAGAAATATTCTCTATGCCAACTGTCATTGTTTTATTGGTACATCCATCTGTCAAAACTCATCAGATTGTACACTGTAAATGGCTGCAAATTACTTTATATAAATTATATCTCTAAAAAGTTGATTAGTAAAAAAGAAAATAATTCATGAGTAATTGTACATTTCACATTTAAAACAACTGCCGGCCCGGCTCAGCTCAGCCTGTAATCCCAGCACTTCGGGAGAACAAGGCGAGTGGATTGCCTGAGCCCACAGGTTCAAGACCAGCCTGGGCAACTTGGTGAGACCTCATCTCTACAATAAATCAAAAATTAGCCAGGTGTGGTAGTGTACGCCTGTAGTTCCAGCTACTTGAAAGGCTGAGGCGGAAGGATCACCAGAGCCCAGCAGGTCGACACCGGGGTGGTCTTGAGCATGCCACTGCACTCTAGCCTGGGCGAGAGTGAGACTCCAACTCAAAAATAAAAATAAAATAAATTTTTAAAAATACCTGCCTATACTTTGTTCTAGCCAATACTGCATAAGTAAACAAACTGTAAATACAGACCAAAAATAGCTTAAAAAGTAAACATGAAGACAACTTGCTCTATCAATTCAACATGTTTCACAAGCAGAAAAAAAATGGAAAAGCCCTGAAATTGGAGTCAGAGGACCTGCTTCCACCTAGCAACCAGTGGCCTTGGGCAAGTCACGACCTCTACAAGTCTTGGTTTCCACAACTCTAAAATATGAATGACATTAATAACTACCTTACAGACAATAGTTATGGTTTCAATAGAATAAGTGCTTCTTTGGAGCAGGGATTCCATCTTAGCCAAAATTATAATCCCAATATATGGCAAATAATAGGTGCTCAATAAATTCTTACAGAATAAATGAATTACTTTAAAAATAAATCTCAAAAGTGAGAAAGACATCATACACAATGCCCCTGAGTGGCATTTAATTTTTTCTTTGCATGGTGTAGACTAAAGCAGAAGGATATCTCTCTTTCTGACCATCTTTGGTATATTATCCACATGCAGAGTCAAGCATGGAAACTTTAGGTCCCTTGTGAAATATTGCTTTAACTCAGGTCATTATACGGAATATTTTTTCTTTAAATCCTTAAGTGTATTGTCCTAAACAGACTCACTTATAAGAGTAAATTCTATGAAAGTAATCCTCACTGCCAATATTTGCCAAAGATAGAGTAGGCACCAAATAGCATGTGCAAAGGCCTTGTGACCAAATGAAATACAGGAAAGGAACTTCCAAGAAGGCCAAAGTGGTTGATAGCCTGAGAGCAGAGTGTCACATCCACTGGGGTTGTGGAAGCAGGTAGGGCCCAGACCATGCAGGATCTTGCCATGTGAAGTTTTATCTTTATCCTAAGAGCAACAGAAAGCCATGGAAGATATTTAAACAGGTGGTTGGCAGAGTACAGAGAAAAGAAAGGGACATAATTAGGTCTGCAGTTTGAGAAGATTGTACTCTACAGCATGGAAAGAGACTGGTTGTTGGGAGAAGGAAGAGAATGTAACAAAGGAGTTAAGTTAGGATGCTGCATGGATAGAGTTCAATAAGGAGGTTATTGCAACAGTTCATTAATGAGTTAATGGTAAGTCGGTCCAAGGTGATGGAGATGAAAAAAAAGCGGACAGATTCCCAATATATTTAGACAAATCAATAGGATCTGCCTTCGGGGATGAGAGAAAGGAAAACATTCAATTCCTCTGAGCCTCAATTCTTGATCTGTTTTACAGCACTGTTAACACTCCATCTACATAGCATCTACCTTGCAATCTGCTGTGATGATGACATGAAATGATGTAAATATTATGCACCCAGTACAGTGCCTCACACACAATTAATGCTTTCTAAAATCGCTATTGCCATTATTATTGTCATCCCATTCTGAGTAACAACTACCAGAAGCTGAACACCAAAGGCAGAGAACAGCAAGGTAGTTAAAGACTCACAGCCACAGTGCTGAAAGACAGACATTAGCAGCCGGCCACTGAGCAACTGTTCCAAATAAACACAGCTGACCACACAGATACTTCACCTAAGGCGAGCTCAGTCCTCAGAGAGCATTTTCGATGAGAAAGCACAGCTGCAGTGATAACAGTCATCTGAGAATTCGGTAAACTGAGGCACAAGGTGGCTACTAATTTAACCAAGGAAGAGGTGCAGAAACAGATAAGGAAATGGGTGTCTTGATTCTCATTTCTGAGCTGGTCCAACAGGACTTGGCCTAAATCCTGAGCAGCACGAATTTATTCCCCCCTCCCTCTCTCCCCCCCCAGTGTCTCAAATCCCTTGCTGACAAGGCCCCGTCATATCTTGGCTTAATACCGTACACCCGCTCGCCATCGAACCAAGCCCTTCCAGTTCCCTACCCCTAACTCCCAGTGCACGAAGAACCCCAGACCCCGAGGGGGCCACATACCTTAGCTTCACGCTCGCGTTCCTCGGCAGTCGGGGTGCGCTTCATGCTGCCACTATAGCCGCCTTCGCCACGGCGAGCCGCGTAGATTCCTTGCCCCGAGCCCCGCCTCCTCCTTGTAGTTTTCTCGGTGTCCTACTCCCGTCCACAGTCTTTCACTCCCAGAGTCGAGAGAACTACCACTCCCAGGATGCATCGTGGCGACGCCTGAGCGCGCCTCGGGGTCTGGAGCCGGAGAATTTCCCAGGTCCGACAGCTGGGCGAGCGTAGTCCGCTACGCAACGAGCCGTCAGACTGGAGTCCAGGAGAACTACATTTCCCAGGAGGCAACGGGGATGGTCTGCCATGTTTTTCCCATGCTCCTCTCGGGCCAGCCGCCTGACACACTGTCGGCGCTATAGCAACGATAGTAAGCGGCGAGGAGAAAGTGGCGCGGTGAGTTCTCTGGGGGAGGAGGGGGGTGGGTGAAGGTTGGCGGACCCTCCCCCTGCAGCTCGGGCCGGGGTCCTAGGGTCTGCTCGACGGCCGCGAGTTCTTCTCGCATGAAAAGCAACCCAGCCCGAGACACCTCCACAGCCTCAGGCCCGATTCACAGCCCGCCCTGTCTCCACATGTCCAGGGCCAGTTTGAAATGTTATATCCCAGCCATGAACTCTAGTTGATGAGGGCTGATTCTACCAATTGCCATCCCCGTGCAGCTCCTACGAGTAGAAGGTCATAAACACAGTTCGCTCATTTGCCCTGGATTAAGTGTTGGTTGGTAGACTCCGAGACCTCCTGAGTGGCCCGTTGTTTACTTAATTACTTATTATTTGTTTATCATCTGATTTCTTTTTTTTTATTTTTTGATTTGGTGTCTCACTCTTGTCGCGCAGGCTAGAGTGCAGTGGCACGCTCACGGCCACCGCAGTCTCGATCAGCTGGGCTCAGGCGATCCTTCCACCTCAGCCTTCCAAGTAACTGGAACTATAGATGCACACCATTACACCCACCTAGTTTTTTTGTGACTTATTGTAGAGACGAGGTCTCACCAAGCTGACCAGGCTGTGATTACTTCTATAACCTGCTAGCTCCATAAACACGAGGACTTTACTTACCATCTTAATATAAGTGCTTGGTATTCATGTATTCATTTTAAAAATAAAATTAATGTTTGTTCCCACCATGTACCAGGCACTGTTTCTGACCAGCTGTGACCAAGATCAACACCCATCTCAAGATGTTTATATTTTATTAGTGGAGACAGACAATAATTTTTGTCTGACAATTTCAGATAGAGGTAATTGCTATAAGAGAAATCAACAAACTGGGGCTGTGGGGCACACCGTTAGTCCCAGCTACATGGGAGAATTTCTTGAACCCAGAAGTTTAAGGTCAACCTGGACAACATAGCAAGACCTGTTTCAAAAAAAGAGAGAGAGAGAGAAATAGATAGTGGAGAAAATAGGAGGAAGATTACTCTCACATAAGATGGTCAGGGCAAGCCTATCTGAGGAAGGCACATTTGAGCTATTTGAGCTGAACTCTGAAGAATGTGGAGCTAAGCTAGCTAATGCAAAGGGCTTGAGCAAGATAAGGGAATGGTAGGTTTGAGAAAGTAAAGAACAGTGTAGGTGGAGCATGATGAGCTTGGAGAGATAACATGAGGAGGTGTCGGAGAGGCATTTGTGCAGGGTTCTAAACTTCCACACTATTAATGTTTTGGTCCAGGTAGTTCATTATTGTTGGTCCTGTGCACTAGGATTTTTAGGATTATCCTTGGCCTCTACCCACTTGATGCCAGTAGTACCGCACACACAACTACTTCCTAAATGAATGACCTCAGCCATGTTACGTAATCGTGTCTTTGCTTCCTGATTTGTAAAGCAAGAATTATTTGAGTAATAACCTCCTAAGGATATTGTGAGACATTTACTTAATTCATATAAGCAGAGCACTTGGAGCAGTACCTGGCACATAGTAAGCATTCAATAAATGTTAACACCATCCTCATCGTCATCATTATTGTTATTATTATAAAAGTGACCTTAGTTCTATCATGGAAAAGTAATAATTTTCACATGGCCTGTGTTTAAATGGGGTCTTAAAATTGACCTTTTCTGTAGCAGTGTTCCCAAAAGATGTAGATGATCTCCCAGGCAATTTATTAGCTGTTTCTGACACTATAAAATACACTGGTCCTCTCCCTTTGTGAGTTGTAATAAAAGTTATGAACCCTCCCCCAACAGATCATACATACACACAACGTGTATATGTATACGTACACACATATGCATACAAATTTTGTAAACCATCTCCAGGTTCACAGACCCTGAAGCCCCACTGATTGAGAGTTTAGAACACATGTGGTGTTTTACTACAAGCATCAACAACTATTTAGCGAATGCCTGCTCTGTGAATGTGCCAAGCTCTGTGCTGGCCAAGAATACAAAGGTGAACAAGACAAGTAACACTGCTACTCTCTTGATCTTCACATTCTAGGACCAGCATCTGAGAGCTTGAGAGCTTCTGCCCTTTAGATTATCTTCATTGGCCATTTGCATTTGGTTTTCTAGGTAGATGAAATCTTTTTTTTTTGCATACTTGACATTGTATGGACCACTCACATCCACATACAAAATAAAGCTGCTGTAGTATATCTCTGTAAAGAATAGAAACTGTAAAAATACCAAAATTCTCTGGACTATAACTATAATATATGTTGAGATATTATAGTTAAACCCCGGTACTTAGACCTCACAGTAACAAAGGCAGGACACAAGCCCCCCCGCAAAAAAAACCCCAGCCAGTAAATTTATGAAACCCCTTTCACAAAACTTGGAACTACCCACTCATTTCTGCAGAAAACTAGTATTCAGGTAGTATTGTTATCCCAGGCACGTGCTAAAGGTTTTTAACTTACCGTTTCACTTGCTTTCAGAATAAACCTGTGAGATAGATATTATTTTCTCCATTTGTAAAATTAACAAACTGAAATTCCGAGAGTTTAGATGACTTGACCAACTGGTAAATGATAGAACAACCATTTGAATCACATTTCCTTTTTTTTTTTTTGTTTTGAGTTGGAGTCTCACTCTGTCACTCAGACAGGTGTGCAGTGGCCACTCCCGGCCACCGCAGCCTCGACCTGCTGGGCTCCAGCAATCTTTCCGCCTCAGCCTTCCAAGTAGTTGGAACTACAGGCACACGCTACCATGCCCGGCTAATTTTTGATTTATTGTAGAGATGAGATCTCGCCAAGTTGCCCAGGCCGGTCTCGAACCCGCGGGCTCAGACAATCCACTCACCTCAGCCTCCCAAAGTGCTGGGATTACAGGCTGACACCGAGCCCAGCCTGAGTCACATTTCTTACCTGAGTTTTTTCCAAGATACCTGCTTTCTTTAGTGACTTGGGGATGGAGAGGAGGTATGTCCTGAATTTACCTAAATGAGGTAAATCCTATATATACCTCATTTCCTAAGCAAACTATAGGAATTACACGGTTGAAAGGAACACTGTCTCCATGATTGAATACAGTTTTAGTTTTAGAATAGAAGCTTTCATCTTCAAGCAGCACATATGAACGAGATGTCCATTAAAGTTCTACTGCCTGACTTGTTTTATTTGCTTCATTTCACTGCATAGTTAATGTAATAACTTGGAAAGAGTTTATTTGAATTTTCTTCTCTCCACAGATAGGCTATGTCTGGTCCAACTGATGAAACTGCAGGAGACCTACCTGTGAAAGATACAGGTCTAAACCACTTTGGAATGGGAGGGTTACAAGGTATGGCCAGCTGTTATTTATTACAGTTATGAACTTTGATCAGTGACTTCTTTACTTTTAATTTAAAGTATTTCTGATACTCATACAAAACAAACCATTTAAGTAAGTATAGCCCTTGATTGGACTAAACAAAAAGATGGAGAGTTTGGAACACATATGGTATTTTACTGCATGCATCAATTATCAGCAGTTCATAGAAAATGTAAAATCCCCCTCTGTTCTGATAAAGAATTGTTATAAATCATCTTTTTTAAATTCCTCACATCAGTAGAAACTACAGAAAGAGTATCAAGCCTCCAAACTGAATTGCCTGGTTTAAATCACATTCACTATTAAAGCATTTATTTATGTTTAAATTTTATATGGGAGGAAATGCCATATTTTAAAATTTTTGCTTAAGTAGAATATCTCAAAATGACTTATTTATGGAATTGATACTAACTTTTTAATCAAATTAATATACATTAAAGGAGTTTTTATTCTTTCATCACTTAAGTGGTTGCTGTAGAGCTAAAAAATACTTTCAAATTGAGAAAGAAACGCACTACTTTAAAGAACAATTTAGAGTATAGAGCTATGTTTATGTTTGTATGTACAATATGTCAGCCATGCTCTCCTACCACTACATTTGCTATTGAGAAAGCTAGGGATTTAAAAGATATTCCACTAAGGCATCTTCGTAAACCTTTTAGTCAGAACAGTATAAGTGGCCACCTTGAAACACCTCAAAAAGTTGGAGAAATGTAATTTTATTGAAAAAAATATACTTAGCTACACAGCTTTTTCTATAAGCTTTGCTTTAGAGATCCCAGAGAGAAAATCAGATATTAAAATACAAATAAATTTTAAGTATACAGAGGTATTTATTGAGTTTTGATGTTCCGTGTTCAATTCCCTTCTAAAAAACCATCACAAGACTATTCTCCATAAGTTTGTTCTTTGTATTACAGGATTGCTTAGGATTGATCTATTTTACAATGATATGGGAAATACAAAATGTAAGCATCTGTTAAAAGATACATACACATGCTAAAGAGTAACCATTCTTCTTCAAATATATATAACGTAGTATTAAGAGAAATGATTTGTGGAGTCTTTAAATGATAGTTTTTAAATTTAAGACTTTTGTTGTCTGGTCTTCCAACTTTTATAGCTTATTTTTTATACAACACCAATAGCTTAGAAGAATGTCTTAATGACATTGTATTTACCAAATTATTATCATTCTTGCCTTTGTAAAAAAAAAAAAAATACATTCAGATACACTGACTTTCCTGACTTTCAATTTAGCTTTCATAACATTCAGCACATATATCACAGTCTTTATTGAATTTATTGATTCTTGAATACATTTTTGAGTGAATACTATTGTTGCTCAAATTTCTAATACTGTATGTTAACTATTAACAGCAAAGATTTTTATTCTCACCTGAAATCATTGATGTTATAATGTTTTCTAAAGCATTCTTAATTGTAGGTCACTAAGAAAAAAAATCTAAGACG